ACAAAAATTGTTGCGTGGGTACGGGTTCGTTATGAAATGAATGCACAAATCCGATGAAAAATGAACAAAAATTTATTATTATCACAACAGAAATGCTTAAATTTTCTCAAATTATCATGCAGTATCACAATATCTCACAGTAGTTATCTTTAACTACTTAAATGTACAATAAACGTAATTCAAAAAGCTAAACAGCTAAGAATGCTAATTCGTGATTTCGCTATAATCAACACGGCAGTTTTCTAAACAACAACAAACTAAGCAACTACTCCAAACTGAGATTTTCCTCCTTTTATAGATTTTAAAATCACGTGCTAGAATTTTCCAGTACTTTCTCGAAATCAAAAAGAGATATTTATTTATTTAATGCACGCGCTCTTGTAATTTCAATTTTCCGGCTTAGCTTTCTTTTAATATTCATCATGCGCTGCACTGCGCGAGAAATAAAACCATTTAATTTATAATTGAACTAACATTAGCTTTTTAAATACCAAATTCGTAACAATATGATCACAAAACAAGTTATTAAAACACACAGCCAGATTTTGTCAAGATAACTCGGTTGACTGATGATTCAATCTTGGGAGACACTATAACAAAGAAATACTGTGACCTGCTATCCATCATCTCAAAATGTCCCATACAGGGATTCAGGTTTGGTGATCTAGCAGGCCATGGCAGATGTGGAATGGTTTCACTCTCCAGATAACTCTGCACCACACATGAGCTATATGCGAGCAGGTGTTATCGTCCATAAATATTCCATCAGTACCCACTGCAGCAATAAAAGGATGCACCAAGAAGGTGTAGAATTTCACTATGTATTAGACGACCGTGACGCAATCACATAGAGGTTGATGCAGCCATTCATTTCTACCCCAGCCCAATACAAGTAAGCCTTCTCCTCTGTAATGGTTTCTTTTGATGATATTTGGCGCTTGATAGCATGTTCTTGGCTCTTGCCATAGCACTGCCCTTCGGGAACAGTTCTGGATATCAAATTGAAACTCATGCATAAACAGTACATGGCGTCACTACTCTGGTGTCCAAATGTTATGTTTACAGGCCCAATTCAGGCACACTCTAATATGCAAAAAGGTCAAAGGAACACAAACGACTGGTTGTCAGGTATACAGTCCACCTTTCATGCCGTCAATGCAACACACGTTGGTGGGATGCGGGCCATCCTGCAGCAGCAGAGAGATACGATGCCAGCTGTGGTACTATTGGTGATCTACGGCATCCTGCACATAGCAAAAGGAAGCAATGTTCTGCCATTGTGGTAATCCCCCGCCATCCAGACTTGCATCTTCTATAGTGGTTTTGATCCCTTTGGTAATGATCCTACAGCCTAATGACACTACGGCGCATATTCATCTCTCTTAACAGCGGATTGTCCTTCACCAACTTACGACATCCCCACAGCCCTCCAACACATTTCATCATGCAAATTGTGTCTTCAGCTCATGTTTTCCACTTTGGCTACATCAGATTACATGAAAATATCACTGCTTGTGAATTAATGCACAGATATGGCATGGCCCTTTTTAAAGCCTTATGGTGTGACGGCAGGATTGCATTTTATGCTAATTTTGGTTGCCAATTTGCATTCGACGATACAACTTCTACCTCATACATAAATTGCATGTTTTAATTCCCCTCTTTACATTGATACCTTTTCTTTTAGTATTTGTTGCTTATTATTCGAGCACGAGCATATATATATTTATACTGCTACTTCCTATGACACATATTTATTTGAGGAATAAAATGAACTATTCAAATAAAAAACACTGATAGACATTTAAAATATGAATGCCATTAAAAGACAGCAGAATAATATTTATTGAACACATAGTATAGGGTAGGAAAGTCAACTGCTTGAAATTAATGCAGTTTGACTTGGGAATACGAAGAAATAGGTATTTTCTGCAACAGCAATGCCTGATAATAACTGCTATGAACAACCTCGGCACTGAAAGAGATTTTGGATGTGTACCTGGGATATGCTAATATGTTTTCACACACTGTCAGAGTTCCTATGGTGTAGGTAAGGCTGAAGTATGCTGGGACATATTATTGCCAATCATCACCTAGATGTATTGGATGGGTGACATAGTGAGAGAATGGATGGGTCAAGGTAGCAGTGCAGTTTAGTAGAGAATGAAAAAATGTTGAACGTTGTGTGCCACATGCTGTTGTCTATTGTCCTTGACACTTGAACACAGCAAGCCTTGCAAGGAAGTATGGTCCAAAAGTTCAGAGATGTAGCGGCAGCTATTGAAAGTAACAGCAATACATACAGTACAAAGTCCATAATCCGGACTCGTCGGGACTTCGGCGATTCCAGATTAGGGGTTTTTCCGGATTATAGATCATCAATTTAAATCTGGTAAGATGGCATGCAGAAATAATACAATTAAAAATATGAAACAGTAATTTATGAAATAAAGAGCAATCATGATCTAAAGGGTATCAAAATTTACAAAAAAGAAAAAAAAAAAAAAAAAAAAAGCTTAATATTTATTTGTTTACTTTAGTAAACATTTCTATCAATGTAAGTTGTTTAAGTTGCTTCGTTTTATGTGATAATACTTTCTCTTTAATTCTATAAACAGATATAATTTCTTGTTCAGTTACGAAATTCCGCTGTTCAAGTCCCGTTAATTGCTGTGCCGAGAATACCGACTAACTTGTCAATCGAAATTTGTTCGTTTTCAATAACGTTCTCTGTTACTTTCTTCACTATCGGAAGCTCACATGGGTAAATGCTTTATGCGCATGCATAGCGGACGCACGCATCAAACACGCATGCGTAAGTTTGTGGCTTTGAGGTCCGGATTATAGATCATTCTGGATAATGGACATTCGGATTAGAGACTTTGTACTGTATTATGCAGCTGATGTAGTAAAATCCAATGGAATCCCAAACAATAGCTTCAAGCAATGAACTGATACAGTGATGCATAATGCAAAGTTCATGATATCCATCACAGCAGTACAGTATATACAGTAACTGCAGAAATGAACAGCTTCCAAAGATTGCTTGCTTCTGCGGACAATATTGAAAGTCACATGTTAAAACAGGATATAGTGCAACAGACCCCATTATACAATGGTATGCAATGACACAAGTTTTTGTGCAACATACTGTACTTCTTCGGCTGGGGTACTTGACGTTGCTAGGCGATTTGTCACTGCTATACATGCATCCCTGTCCCCTCATTTGCCAGTGTGATGAGCATCGTACAATCATTTCTATTGATCAATCTGTTTTCCCCACATTTAACAATACCATATTTGCACCACTGTAGCTTGATTTTGTCCAAATGAGCATCAATGTCTTAGTAAAATAATCCATAGTCTTTATAAGCTACAATCTTCTCCTATCAAACTTGGAATCTTGCTTGAATGTCTACTCTTTCTTTTTTAATGAGGCACGCTAAAATTTCCCACAGTAGGAAAATAAATATTCTATTGATTAAAACAGCCTATTATAGTTCCATTTTATAGTGCTTATAGATGATGTCACTGTATACATGATTTGCATATGTACATATATACTACAACTAATAAAAATCTGATGTGTACACCACGACTTCCTTGTACAGAATATTAAATTATATGCATTTTTCCTTGCATTTCATTTAAACTCATTGGATTGAATTAAATCTACTTCGTCGATAGTGCATAAAGCACAATAGAAGAAATGCACTCCAAAATTCACTATATTTGTTTACCATACCGACACTCTGGCATTAGTTTCAGCGTTATATTTCATTCATATTATAACTCAGAATGCACAAAATTTATAACATTTGAAGAATTATTTAATTGTTGCTACATGTTCTATTCAAATACTATAATAAATCTAGAATGATGTATAAAAGAAATTAAGCAAACAAACAAAAAAGAAACATTCACCGACAATTCAGTATTTCTCATTCAATTAATTCAGTTCTCACTTCGCGACAAGGCAAAAATACATAAAAACTCAAAATAGTGGTATTAAAAATTACGAAGTAAATCTTAAACACTTATTTCCTCCAAAAATTCCAGAAAGAATTAAGCATGATTTAATTCGCAATAATAAATGAAGGCATTATCTTTGTTGTTGCAAAGCTTAGTCTCTCTAGATTGGCAATAAATCTACTATTCTGCTGTTTCAAATGTAAACAAATATGTCCGCCATGTTATTTAAAAATTAGGCTTAACCGCACTTAAACAGCTTTTAAATTGTTGATAATTCTACAAATATTGCTTGCAGATTTCCTAAAGGCTCAAAATTCTTAACCGGAAGATAAGAACAACATAATTAAATCATTTTTAAAGCAAAAAATGCACAATTTACAAGCATGTAAGAATAAAGAAACTAAGCTCACTGAGCCGGGTAACAGAGTGGGGTAATATATTTATATACTGAGCCGGGTAATATACTTATATATATATAAATATATTCATATACGTTTGGTGCGGACAATTGCAACCAAAATACGAGGTGCACATTTACAAGTTATAGCAGTCCTATATACAAAATTTCAACATTCTGAGGATACTAGTTTTTGAGTTATGCGAGATACATACGTATGCACGTATGTACAGACACCATGAAAAATTCTCTTCAGAATTCATTTTAAAGCAGTTTTATAATTTTTTTGGAGGAAAAGAGTCTTTTATTCTGTCCTTACATACAGATGTCATGCAAACAAAATCGTTTGAATGGCTTCGAGAGCAGTCAAAATTAATATTTTCTTTGAAATATGATACCAGAAACTTTTCGCGATTACAATACTTCCTTTTTACTTCGTACAAGGAAGTAATAATAAATAATTTTAAATCTGATGAATACTAATTTAAAAATAAGGCATTCTATATTAAAGAAGTATGGCTTCAAAATGCATACCAGTATAGATAGTTGCTCCTGTTCTTCTAATTATTTCTTCTAACCAATATACAGTATCTACTAAATTACTAAATGATACTCCACCCAATCGAGCAGTTGATGGTTGACCAATCACAAGGCAGACCAGAGGAAAGGGTGACAGAACTAAATTACATTGCTGCATTCGAATGACGTGGTTTGCTAGGTCTCGACACAAAAGTTGCTCCTCTTTTATAGAAACAGTCATGGTTCTATGTAAACCATAATATCCATAATTAATTTGAGTTTAACAAAAATTCAGCAAAATTTTCAACTACATTAGAAAATTTATGAATGCATATATTAATATTTCACATTAAAATATCATACTACTTTTAACCAAGCAACTTCCATGAACACACTCTTCAATTATGCTTTATGTAAATTCAAAAATACCTCTATGAAAAAAAAAAATTAGCTAAAACACCCAAAATTAAACCTTTGAGAATGACTGTCACTTACATATGACAGATGTTACTTTATATAAGACCGCTGCAATGGATGCAGAGCCAAAAAATAAATAAATAAATAAAATAACCTCAGAAGAAATTACAAATGCATGATTTCGCATAAACACTAGTATTTCTGTAATAGCTAGTGAGTTCCTTAGCTCCTACTATAGATATAGCATGATTTCCTTTTCATCTTCAAAAAATAAAATGTGTAGTATTATCACCCTCTCTTCTTTTCTTTCATTTGAACATAACAGCTTATGCTTTTGAATGGAAACAAATTCTATCCTCTGCTCTCTAAAGCTTGTGATAGAGAATGCCTGCCTGAAACAGGTCTCGTGTATTTTACTAATTTTATTGTACGAAAACTGAAAGTGCAAAATCATGCAAATAGTTTAACTTCTGAGGGATGCAGTTACAATAAGAACATAACAAATAAAAAACATTCATGGATAAACTAGTTCTAATTAGCATCATATTTATTTAACAGAAATCAACATTTCAATAAGAATACAAATTAACAATATCTAACACAGTATCATTTCTACTTTCCTATATCTAAATCTCACAAGTTCCAATTGCTGTCTATTGCTATCCCTATTCCTCTAATCATTTAATGCTGCTGAAACTGCTATGTCAATCTGATTGAAAATTATGTGAACACTTCAAAAATTTTCAAAACCTTGTGCTAAAAAATGCTAAGGGGTAAAATATGCAAATAACTATGTTACAGTCGAAAGTCGTTAATTCGGACACCCATAATCCGGAATGATCTATAATCCGGACCTCAAAGCTAAAAACTTTCTGCGCATGCGCCACGTTGACACATGTACATAGGCGTTTACGCGTGCGCGTAAGACCTCTTACGACTGAGCATTTGCGTGTGCGCAAGCGCAGAATACGTTTTCGCGTGCGCATTTTATGTATAACGAACGGTATAAGCTAAAATTATCTAATTATCTATTTCAGTTAATGTTGATGATTGCGTGTTCCTTAATTTCGAATTGGATCCGGCTTATTATTTTTGCAGACTGTAAGAGCAATATTATAAAAGTAAACTTGAACTTTCGATTATGTCAAATAGAATTTCCGAATCTGAGGCTCCCAAAGGATCGTACAAAACGAAAGTATGTTTCGATGTCCATCAAACAAAAAAGTGGAATTGCTGCAAAAATGGATAAAGACATGAAGAATGTGACAGAGAGGTTAGGAAAACGAAAAAATTTCAATTGAAGTTAGTCGGTATTCTCGGCACAGCAATTAACGGGACTTGAACAGCAGAATTTCGTAACTGAAACAAGAAATTATTATCTGTTTATAGAAAAAAGAGAAAGTATTATCACATAAAACGAAGCAACTTAAACAACTTACATTGAAAGAAATGTTAATAAAGTAAACAAATAAATATTAAGCTTTTTTTTTTTTTTTTTTTTTTTTGTAAATTTGATACCCTTAGATTAATTGTTCTTTATTTCATAAATTACGGTTTCATATTTTTAATTTTAGAATTTCTGCATGCCATCTTACGCGATTTAAACTGATGATCTATAATCCGGAAAAATCGATAATCCGGAATCATCGAAGTCCCGACGAGTCCGGATTAACGACTTTTGACTGTAATTTTTTTTCATTTCTATTTCTTTGTACTTTTTAAGGGAATATTTTTTTCACTTACAGTACAATAAATCAGACACCAGAACAGATGCATCAGATATAGAAAATATGATAAAAAAAGGTAGCTTCTAGATTGCCTGAGGAAAAAATTTGAATTTTCACTGCAACATTCAGATAGGAATAAAAATGCAATAGATCAAATGACAAAGTAAGTTAGATAGCTTCAAAGTTTTAATAGCTGAGATATGCATTAACAAAGGCTGATTGCTCAATATGAAATATCAATTTGTATTCATTTTTCAACTTCCGATTATACAGAATTTTTTTTTTTTTTTTTTTTTTTTACTCATCTCAGATTCCATTACTTTGCAGTTTCACATATAAACCAGACAAGCAACATGCTTTATCAAATGCTTTGCCCATATCTGGTATAGGTAACACATTTTCAAATCTTATATTTTGTATTACCTTATTTGATTTACTTTAGCTTGCTTTTTGATTCATAAAACAGTATTAAATGTACATAAAAACTAAACAACCTTTTTTTGGTAATTCAATACAATTTTTAACAACATTAAATTACAAAAATGAATAGCTCAATAAAAGCAACAGGAAATTAATAAAACTTAACCATGATTTTAGATTAGCCATCCAATGGTTTTAGATTTTTATGGACATCAGCCTTGCACTAAAATTATACAATATAAAATGTTAATTTACTATTAAAATACACAAAGAAAAATGTGATTCTCGATAAATATTAAATGACAACATAACTTCTGGCACAACAGAATACAATTGTAAAAAAAGTTAAAGATACAGAAGTTCTCAACTGCTTGGGGCAGTTGAATCCTGCTATTACAGATCAATATCATAAGACAGCCACTAGCAACATAATAAAGAAATGGTAAAATATTTTGCAATATGCAAATGAAACTTGAAGCTACAACATGGCACATCATATTTTCTTTTGCAAATATGATATGCCACGTTTTTGCATTTGTTTTGTATTTCACTGATAAGGAGTAGGCAACTTGGTACAGTTTTACATTTCTCTTAACAGGCCCTCATAGTATAGATAAAATCGCTTATTATAACTTGTGGCGACAAACTTATTCTTATAAGAACAAGGATTTCAGTGTCTGGAAGATCTTTGGAGGGCACTGACATTGCACAATGGCTCTTTCTAAAACATCCCAAATACATACTACAGGACATAGGCCTGGCAACATCACTAGATACACCACATGGCAAATACCTACTTCTTACAGAAAACTGTTGACTACCATCCATAAAAATAAAATCCCCTCTCTAGCAGCTACCCAGAGAAGCCTCATGTAAATCTCAATTCTAACACTGTACAGTCAAAATTCTCCCATCAAATACATAGGGTGGTATATAATTATTAAACATAATAACTCCCTACACAAGGACTCCGCTTCTTTGAAGGTCTTTTGATTTCCCTTGTATTGATGATGGTAGATCCCATGCTTTCTTTAAAAGAAGACTCATTCAGAATCATTCTGTGTACTGAATCTCAACTCATCATTGAAGAAGATATGGGCCTGGGCTTTCTATGTCCAAAAATGGTTTGCCTGACTCCATTAAATACCAGCTCTTTAGCACAGCCTCTTTAGGAGGGCACATATCACTGATCATAATGTGTAAAGAGCCTGCTCTGATAGATATTTATATACAATTTTCCTAGAAATTGTTCCAGATGCAAAATGAGATTAAGGAGTTTTCTAGCCATCATGTATCATTTGCTTTATATATACAGATATTAATAAAAAAAAAAGTGCATTAAAACGGTATGTGGAAGCACACTATGTATGTAATGAAAAATAAAAATTATTTTGCTAAAAATGTTTTTAATCCCCAAATCCTAACTTTGGGTAAAGAGTCTAAAAACCAAAGGCTTAATGTAACTTAAGTTTCATATTATATGCAAAATATTTACTATACATTACATAAAGATAACTATTAAGTCATTGAGACATAAAATACAAAATTTCATAATTTATGCACAATTATATATTTCACGTATAGTATAGATTAGTAGCTGAAAATAATACAACATAAATTATGTATTTCACATATAGTATAGATTAGTAGCTGAAAATAATACTCTTGGACTAACTTTTTATTTCTCTCAGATAAGAATATACATACTTAACAGTTGTATCACCACTGAGTTGAAAGTTAAAATAAAACCACACTTACCTTGGTTGAAGATTATGTACACTTCTATCATAACCTCTGAAATATTCTTTTAATGACACTGGTTCTCCAAACCGCACACAAACATTCCCAAAATAGTCTGACATAACTTTACGTGCCTTAATTAAACCCTGTGGAAAAAGTTTCTTTTGTTAATAATAACTGAAAGCTTTTACAGTTTTGAACAATAACTTTTACAAATAACGAAATCTAGCTTTTGATGCAGTCTCCTGGTTCCTATATTTATATTTGAGAAAGTGTTATACTAGTTATGAAAAAATAAAAACACAAGAAGTTTGACTGCAATATATCAAAAATTGACCAAGATAGTTAATTTCAAAACTTGCAGTTTTTGATGTCATTTTCAACTTGCCTTGAGGAGTTGGTTAATTAAATTAGAATAATTTGAGGAAATAAGTAACCTTTTTGACCCGACTTTTGCATGATTAAAATTTAACTATGAATAGTTTAATTTAATGTTGATGTACTAAAAGAAGTGTAACATGAGTTTAAAGTTAACTTTTCTCCGTTTCTCGGAAATCTGCTAGGGCAATATGTCCCAATCGCATTGTCAACTGGGACTATTTGTTCCAATCATCTAGGATATTACTCTTACTCAGAAAATAAAACTAAAATTTATGGTAATATATAATGCAAATATTACAAAACAAACTCTGTCACATGCACTAGTTCATATACAACAGAAATTTTCATATATCTTTTATAAACACAAATATAATATATCAGCATGTAGTAATTTGATCACTGGTGGGACATATTAGCCCACTGTTAAATATGATTGAGACAATATATCCCACAAAAAAAAATTATTCAAAATTTCTTAAATCTGACATGTTAAATTACTACTTAATAAGAACTATTTCATACTAAATATGCATAAATAAAATTGTACTTGCTGCAAGATTTAAAAAATAGACAAACTGAAACTTGAGTAATCGGTGTGCTCAAAAACATAAGCGCACCATCTGCAATCTAAAAGTGTTGCCAGGTTTCTTTAGCCATTATTTGTTCCCTAATTCCTTAAAAACATTGCAAATGTAAAAACCTATTTAAAAGTGGGTTTTATTTACCCAACAGGGCATGAAATCTAATCTCCGGGACTTATGTGCCTATTAGGACCGAAAGGGTTAAATGAAGTACAACAAAAATATGTATAATTTAATAAGCATACAAGGAAGTTGCATGGTGTTCACATCATATTTTTTACTTTAATTTCAGTTATCTCATTTATCTACATGCAATAAATATTACACCACCTTTTTTTTTATTTGTTTTTATTTTACGGTTTTTCTCTTTTTAGAAAGGAATTCCAGGTATAAAACCAACAGAAATTAAAGAAGAACAATTAGTGATGGAAGTTTAGCATAAATGGGAGTAAAAACATGAAAATAAATAAATAAAACAAAAAGCTTCTAAGGCTCAACATTAAGTAAAAGGAATAAAGACAGAAATTAGCCAAAATGTTCCAATACAGCATAAAAAATGCATAGTGTGGCTTTTAATAAAACAAGTTCGTTGATTGGAAAAGAAACCACTTTTAAGGCACAGCAAACAAATGCTGTTTATACATGAAAGAGGAAAGAAAGTGCAAAGGAGAAAGAAACTCCACAAGTCTACAATTTAAAATTCTATATTATGTTAAAGAAAAGGAAAAAAAAACCACTTAATATTTTTTAACAATATTATTTTAAAAGAAAGTAAACAGTTTGATAATGTTCATAAATTTCAAGATGATACAAAACCTAGATCTTTTGATGCAGAAGTTTAAATGAAGGATAATTATAGATATAATTTTCAGGAAAAAAGAAAAATTTACCAATTTCAGAATCACTGCCCAATAAATTAAGTTAAAGAGTCATAATAACTAATATTCACAACCTAATAACAAACCTGTAGGCTGAACACTTTTTCTACTTTAGGACACTTAAGCAGCTGAACACTTTAAAAAATGTATATGCAAATTTTAAAATTTGTTACTCTACTTAACTTTTTAATATACAAAATACAAATAAATTTAATAAAAAAGAAACTTCTGAAAAGACAATAAAATTATCTGCAAAGAAAAGTATACAATTAGTGATGAAAAGATGAATGATGATCTTATTGTTACCCATTGATTTAACAAGAAGATATAGCTGATAAACTTGAAATTCATATTACAATCATTAAAAAAAATCCGATGTGTACACCATATGGCTTCCTCGTACAGAATATTAAATTATACGCATTTTTTCTTGCATTTTATTTAAACTTATTAGATTGAATTAAACCTACTTCGCCGACAGCGCATAAACCACAATAGAATAAATGCATTCTTTAAAATTCACTTTGTTTACCATAGTGACACTCTAGGCACTAGGTTTACTTAACAGTATTATATTTCATTCCTATTATAACTCAGAATGCACAAAATGTAAATAATTTAAAGAATTATCTAATCGTTGCCACATGTTCTATTCAAATACTATAATAAGGCTAGAACTTTGTACAAAAGAAATTAAGCAAACAAAACAAAACAGAAACAGTTTTTCACAGACGATTGAGTATTTCTCATTTAATTAATTCAGTTTTCACTTCGCAAGAAGACAAAAATACATAAAAACTCAAAATATCTATATTAAAAATTACGAAGTAAATCTCAAACGCTTATTTCCTCGAAAAAATTCCAGAAAGAATTAAGCATGATTTAATTGGCAAAAATAAATGAATGCGTTATCTTTGTTGTTGCGAAGCTAAGTTTCTCTAGATTGGCAACAAAATCCACTAGTCTCCTGTTTCAAATGTAAACATCAATGGCCGCCATTAAAAACAGCCTTAGCGGCAATTAAACAACTTTAAAAACTGCTGATAATTCTAAAAATATTGCACACACAGATTTACTAAAGGCATAAAATCCTTAACCGGAAGATAAAAAACAACATAATTCAATCATTTTTAAAGCAAAAAATGTACAATTTACAAACATATAAGAGTAAAGAAACTGAGATCACTGAGCCGGGTAATAGAGTGGATATATATATAAATATATTTATATACGTTTAGTGCTGCCGATTGCAACCAAAATACGAGGTGCACATCTACATGTTATAGCAGTCCTATATACAAAATTTTAACGTTCTGAGGCTACTCGTTTTTGAGTTATGCGAGATACGTACGTACATATGTTCGTACAGACGCCACGAAAAATTCTCTTCAGAATTAATTTTAAAGCAGTTGTATAATTTTTTTGAAGGAAAAGAGTATTTTATTCTGTCCTTACGTACAGATATGATGCAAAAACATCATTAAATTGCATTCGATAGCGGTCAAAATGGATATTTTCATTGAAATATGCTGCCTGAAACTTTTCGCGATTAGAATACTTCCTTTTTACTTCGTACAAGGAAGTAAAAAGGATAAAAGTTTACAATGAAAAAATTCTGTGAATAAAGAAGAATATGCTATTAGTCTTGTAAATATAGAACTTGCCCATATAGGAAATATTAATCAGCAAATTAAAGACTACAATTTACAGCACTTTATGTATATGTATATTTTGTGTAGTAGATTTTTTAATTCAAAAATATTCTTGTTAATCAGACAAACATTTATGCTTAGAAATATAACATGATTTTATCAATACATTCAAATACAAGTATTTGTTTTCTTTTGTTTATATCATTTACTGTTTGTAAATATACTGAATGCAAAATAGTCCTCAAAGACATTCTGAAACATTTCACAAATATTCTGCTTTACTAATTGATTACATTAATTTTATATTTTACTTAATTTCTTGTAAACCTATTCAAAATTTACTGGTAATAATGTTTTAAAACCTTTCTAAACAATTTTTTCATTCTTGTCTAAAATTTTTAGATTAAATCTCTTAAACCTTTTTAATGTTATCTGACTTCATTTCATATCAATGTTTTACCACTGTTTAAATTAAATACGATGATTTCATGTAAAAGAATTTTATGAGGCCCATAAATAAAGTAGTGTGCCTGGAAACACTGCACTCAGTTTGGCAGTATTGCAGACTTCCCATCTGGTGAAAAGGGTACAGGAATATTTGAGGCACAGCCAGCTTGAATTTGAATGTTTGGACTGTGTAGAGTCATAAAGTTGCACATAGGAATTTTTTTTTGGAGGGAGGGGGGTAACTGCTTTTTCTCTGTGCATTCTGAAAATGAGCGCCATCAATTTCAAGCAAAGTTGTATTATCGGATTTTCCTTAAAAACTTTCACATAGCTTCAGCAGACCTTTGAAGACAATATTTTGTCAAGAATCCAGATTTTTCAGATGGTTTAAGGGATTTTCAGAAAGAATGGAATTGGTTAAAGACTAATCTTAGAAGGTCTGCAACTGCACAAACTGCCAAAATGTTGCCAAAAATCTGGAATATAGTGTGTTCTGAGTGTCCCTTGGCAGTTAAAATGATCAGAGAAGAGCTGAATCATGCTACTATTCATCAGATTTTGACAAATGAATTTGGAATACAGAGTCTCTGTGAAAAATTGTTTTAAAAACTATTATAAAAACAAAGAATAACTTATCGAAATTTAAAAAAAAAAAAAAAAAAAAAAAAGCAAGAATGAGCATATCAAAGTTGATTTGGTTTTTCAGCTGATAAGGATAAATGCCTTGATATTTAGGAGCAGACTGTAAATGATCCTCATTTTCTGGAACATAAAAATACTGCTCATGAGTTTTGGGTATTTTTTGAGTACTACCCAGAAAGCAACAGCCAGAAACGGCAGACCTCAAACTTATCAAAATTTAAAAAAAAAAAAAAAAGCAAGAATGAGCATATCAAAGTTGATTTGGTTTTTCAGTTGATAAGGAGCCCATCAACAAAAAGTTTGTGTCTTCAGAGAAAACAGTGTATTAACATGACAGTTCTTGAAAGACTGAAAAACGGTCATGAGTGTGAGGCCAAGAATCAAGACCAACTGGGTGCTGCATCATGAAAATATGCCTTGTCACACCACATTTTCAATTATTAATGAGTTTTAAGGAAGTAAAACATACCTGGGGCTTTTTAACCTCTTTAAGGTGGGGACATCTTGAGTCAATATGACTTTTTTCAGTACCCAAGATTGAAAACCCACCTAAAGGATATCATTTTGGCACACTAGTAAACATTTAAATGACTTTGAGTAACCAACTGAAGGCAATTCTAGTGTCTGAGTTCCAGCAATATTATGAAGAATAGAAAATTGTCTCTAATACTACATAGCTTCCCAAGGCGATTACTTTAAAGAAGACAATGTGAAATTGTAATTTTAATTGAAAAAAATTATCTACTTTATTTACAGGCTTCATAATTCTTATATCTGAAGAGAATTAATATTATATTTTCTTTATTCTTTTTACTGATTTAGTAAAAACACATTTTAAAATTTATTTAAAATCAGCACTACATTAACAGAACTCAGAATAAAACTACCACTACAATTAAATTGTTCTTAGGTTTCCTTGCTTTCAGAACTATTCACATTATATAAATTTCATATAAAACAGAATTGGGCATTACAGTAAATTGGCTATTTATGCAGTTTACTTTCTAAAATACTTCATTTTTGTTTCTAAGACTAAAAGCACTTACTTAATTTCACTTCCTTTTCATTTTTATTACTTCTTTTCCCATCAAAAATTCATCTAATTGAAAATATTATTTCTTTCTATAAACAGCAATTTATGCTTCTGCTTCGTAAAAACAGTACGACCATTTACTCAACCAAGCATTATAATAAGCAAATGCCGAAATTTCAGGATTTTTTAAATAATCTACATAAAATATATGCCATAAGCCAAGAAGATGGGTATATATGTTTTGTAAAGAGGTTTAAATATTATAGCATTGCTGTTTGTCAGATCACTTTTAACATTTCCTTTATTTCCCAATAAAATGCTTTTTTTTTATTAAGGGATAAACTTTAATAGTTTGATCCAGTTTTACTTCTAGCTGTCTTAATGGACTAATAACATGAGGTGCCTAGAGTGTTGCTCAAAAACAGGAGCATTTTTCCACACGAAATTCTCCATATAAGCATCTCCTCATAGATAGATAATCTTATAGTGTTTTATCATAATATCTAGTACATTGGCTAGTGAAGCTGATTGTTGTACCAATGAGCCCAACTCAAAATCACGGAATAAGCATGGATATTTGTAAGCATACAGTATCTGTGCAGCGAGAGGCACTCAAAATACAAGGGGAGCCAAAAGTTTTCTCAAGAGGTTGATGATAGAGGAAGAGGCAATGGAAACTCTGAGACTGCCCCTCTGGAATGTTCTGCCTCAAAATTTGAGTGGAACTGCTAAGGTCCTGCCCATTTCTACTTCTACTTGTGTTGTATCACAAATAATCCAGATTAGAAAACATTTTCTAATTATTATTGTAATCTCAGTTTTCTTCTTCACACTAACTATTTAGTTGCAACTTCTTAAAAATTTCCAAGACGAATATCTGCTTGTGAAGAAAAATGCCATTTTAATGTGCAAATGGGAGAGTGATCATGACAACACTGAGAGTTATTTTCTAACCATATATTAATTAAATATCCCCACAAAACTCACAGAAAAATATTTTAAGCTAATGGTTAAGTCTAATTTATAGTTCTCAAGGGCATAGCAAATTTAAAACAGTGTGGGGTAATAAATGATCCTGTTACACCAGCTGTAGGGGATTATGCCCACCGATTATATCCTTTACTTCTTGTCTTCTTAATTTTTTTTCCTTACCCTTTTTTTATATCTTACAATTTTAATTTCTTTTGACTTACCACAGATAAAAAATGTTACACATAAAATAATGTATCTTTATTTATATGTATAAGATTGATCAGCTAGTTATTTAAAAGCTTACCTGCAATTTACCATAGATAATTTATTTAATTGTTTGATTTTAAATTGATGCAATTTGATTGAATTTAAAAATGTTCAGGCATTTTAGAATATAGTACACGAAAGTTTTCCTAAAAAAGCATCTGGCCAAAAAAAAAAAAAAAAAAAAAAAAAAAAAAAAGTGTGCTACAGAAAATTATAAGAAAGGCATTTGGCAGGCTAATAAAATTTGAAACAATGTGTTTATAACAACAGTTATGCAAGTCACTGCCATACTAAAAGTTATTTACAATTACAGCTTTGTTCATAATTTTTAATAGCTTTTTATTAATGAATGGAAAACTTAAGAAATATGCTTGGAATACAAAAATTTAATAGCTGTCAGCTCTCTATAGCATTGTTCTTTTTTTAACATTATATAGGTCTATACATGCACAAAAATATTAGAATACTCTTACTCGTGTTGATTCTTTAGGTTTGGGAACACCCAATAGCTCATAAGCGTACAATGTTTCTTCCAGAGTCCGATCATAGCTTATGCTGATTGGTACTACAATAATGTCTGGAACTTTAGATGAAAAATACATATCCAATATTACTTGCAACATGCCTATAGAAATACAATACAAAAGTACCCATCTTTAAAAATTCTGATAAATCATAAAATTTAGTTTTTTTTAATTAAAAAAATATCTAAATTACCTAATTTGGGGACAAGAGATTTAGCAGTTCTGCTTCGAGTTCCTTCTATAAAGAATTCTAGAGGATATTCACAACCTTCAATATGAGTCTGAACATACTCAGAAAAAATCTCTCGATATAGTCGATCATTGACAAAAGAGCGCCGAATGAAAAATGCTCCAGCACCTCTTAATAAAAAACTTAATGCTTTAAGTCCCAAAAAGTCTAAAAAAAGGCAGAGAAAGGTGAAAAAATTTTTACATTTTAAATGTAATAACATTTTAATACACAACACATTATCAAAGATAAAATAATTATGCTGACATGTTATGCTCAAGGCATCTTAAATTTTCAAAGTTACTCCCTGCACATTAGTATTTCCTTAAAACAAATGATCCCCCCACTTTTTTTTACTTATCAACCCTTCACATGAACATCTCTGGTCTTGCAACAATGATCTGCACTTTTAATTATTATTGTTGTCACATTAACACTTGCTTACTAGTTTAAAGTCTGCATTTAATGTTTTAGAAGATTTTATTAACACAATAAAGGCAGAGGATCTTGACGAAAGTATGCTAGGTAACGCGGCGACCGCTTCACCTCGTTTTTCGTCCTTTAGCGGGCAATATTTTGTGTAATCATAAAAAAATTTAGACTTAAAAAAGTTTGATTCAGAAGTCAAACAACAAAAATCAGCGTTAATTCACAAAATTTTCACAGGACTAGTTTCGATGGTTCAGCGCGGTTTTTGTAAAAACCATCGAAACTAGTCCTGTGAAAATTTTGTGAATTAACGCTGATTTTTGTTGTTTGACTTCTGAATCAGTATTTATTCGGCGTGTTATTGTGTCTTAATTAAAAAAGTTTATTTAAACTCTTAAAAACTACAAGAAATATTTAAAAAGAACTAAACACTAATTACAAAAAAATGTTTTAAAGTATATATTTATGAGAAGAATCTAGTATTTTTTATGAGTGTGATAATGTTGATAACATTCGCACGGTGAAGAGGTGCATATCAAAACTCGCATTTGAAGCAAGTCAACTTTTTTTTTTTATGCGGCGCACAAACTATGCAGTTTTCGTTGGGCATATAGCTTTTTGCCTTTATTTTCTATCCAAATTAATTTGTGCTTTTTTATGTCTAGCGAAAGAAGTCCAGGCAAATCAATTTTATATCGTGGAGTCCGTGGTGCCAAGTTCGATGTACCAGGTTGTGGCTCTTCAATGTCCATCAAATCATCTGCATATATATCTTTATTTTCACGTAAAACCATATTGAAGGATTTCAAAGTTTACTGCAAGTAGAATTTGAACAACCGAACAGCTTCAAACCACAAAACATACTCAATACAAATGTTAAGTGGCACATGGATTGCACAATCCCTGCACTAGCTACAATCGAGATAAATGCGCAAGCTACAGTTGAGATAAATCGTATTACTACGACTCCCGCCTTTAAACTATATTCGAGATAAATCATAGTACTACAACTCCTGCTTTTAAGCTACAGTCGAGATAAATCATTAATACTATGACTACCGCCTTTAAGATACAGTCGAGATAAATCGTAGTACTACGCATCCCGCTTTAAGCTACAATCGAGATAAATCGTAGTACTACGACTCCCTTTAAGCTACAGTCGAGATAAATCATAGTACAACAACTCCCGCCTTTAAGCTATACTCGAGATAAAGCATAGTACTAAGACTCCCGCCTTTAAGCTACAGTCGAGATAAATTGTAGTACTACGACTCCTGCTTTTAATGTGTTAAGAAGTGTTATCTTGACTGCATAAATAATCTTAAAACATGCACAATTTAAGAAACAAACTCTGTGCAGTCTCCAACATTTTCAATTATTTGAAAAAGTTTGATACTAAAAAATGAAAAAGAAAACTTTTAAAAAGCACATTTAATTTTGAAAATTTCTCAATGCAGTTTGTAAGCCTTTAGAGTTTAGTGTAAACTTTTCGCAATCGAGTTTCTAATTTTGGAGCTGCTACAGGATGTATAAAATGAAACATTAAGTGAAATGTGAAAATGTGAAGTTGCTGCAAAAAATGGATATAGGTATATTTGTCTCAAAATTTTACGAGGAGTATGGCATTGGAAAGTCAACTGTATATGTCATAAAACAGTATATTAAAAGCAGGTATATCTAAGTATGATATTTCTTTGACTTTTGTTCCTAAATATATATATAGCGTTACATATTTTCTTAAGTTATACAGTAAAAGCCCGACTACCTGGCATTCAACTAACCAGAATAATCGAGAATTTTAGGAAAAAATTTCCCTGAAAAATTGAGTAAATGCATCATAGAACTTATAATATCATTAATATTTCATGTTGAATCCCACTGTTGCCAAAGAGTGTGATTTAGTGCCAGTAATGGATAAGCATGATGTCACAGTATAATTATAAGATGTTCATTTCAGTTTAATGTAAATCCAATTAATTCTCAACAAGCCAGTTTAGTTTTGATACAGAAGGATATAAATTCCATTTTTCCTCACATTTTGAAAAAATTATAAATATTTCAAACTGCACGGTGGAATATATTCAGTATCCAGACATTAAAAATAAAGCCACGATATGCAACATTGAAAGCATATAAACAATGGCAATATATATATGAAAAATTATGATAAGCAATTAAAGTATTTTATATACAATATCCATAATTTGTATCTCTTTATTAGCTAACTAAATATAGTACAAAGTTCGAGATCTGGACGTGCAATATCCGAAATGATCTAAAATACGGACCTTAAAAAGACACCAAAAAACATTTTTTAAGGATTTTTCTTTTTTTTTTTTTTTTTAATGCTTTACACATGCGCGTTTGATTTTTTTCCCCATAATAAAGCATGTGGAGAGTCCTGATTCTTAATTTCACTTCAGCACTTGAGCAAATGCCTCGTTATTGAAGAAACAATCATTGTAGCATAAATTTGTGTGGTCAATAATTTGGCTCCATAGCTCCTGCTTGGCATACATTTCAAACTGAAACATTCTATGTAGAAACATCGTTGATTTTACAAATACTAATATTTTATATCCCTGATGCCGACCTGGCGACATTATTTATTATATTTTGCTTTCATTGCTGCATGTTTATCAACATATGACAACTTCAGTAATGACTCGTGCAGTGATGCCTAAACAATTTTTCTTATATTAGTAACTGAATAACAAAGAGTATGGTAACCTTTTATGTTGACATTATGCTTGGTGATGATTACATATTTAAGTTAAATGCATTAAATATTGACAAGGAAAATTTTAACAAAAATTTCTTTTCGTGTGCTAAAAATAGTTGTTGTTAATCATAATCACAGGCCGAAAGATTACATTTAGTGCTACCTGAATTAAGAATAACTGATTTTTTATTTGCATAAACTGAGAGCTGGAGCCACAGCTTGTAAAACTACACTAAGCAGAAAAATTTATGGAAGACAAAATGTTTGGAACTTAGAGAAGCACCGAGTAACAAAATTAAGGAATGACAAAATTTTGAGAATTTAGGAAAAATACTGGAACCCAAAATTTTGGGGTGGAAAAAGTTTAGAACTTAGGAAGGTGCTGGGTAGCAGAATTTAGGACCCACAGAGACTGCATCAGGTGGTAAAATATCTAGCGCCAACTCTCAGTAAGCTTAACTATATGTGGGAATTTATTTATTCAGGACTTCGATAAGCCTTAAACATATGCAAAAAATAGACCTAAGTATTACTAAAGTAACTAAGTACAGTCAAAAGTCGTTAATCCGGACTCGTCGGGACTTCGGCGATTCCGGATTATCGATTTTTCCGGATTATAGATCATCAGTTTAAATCTCGTAAGATGGCATGCAGAAATTCTAAAATTAAAAATATGAAACCGTAATTTATGAAATAAAGAACAATTATGATCTAAAGGGTATCAAAATTTGCAAAAAGAAAAAGCTTAATATTTATTTGTTTACTTTATTAAACATTTCTTTCAATGTAAAGTTGTTTAAGTTTTGCTTCGTTTCATGTGATAATACTTTCTCTTTAATTCTATTAAACAGAATAATTTCTTGTTCAGTTACAAAGTTTCCGCCGTTCAAGTCCTATAATTGCTGTGTCAAGAACACCGACTAATTTGTCAATCTAAATTTTTTTGTTTTCAATAACCTCTGTCACTTTTCTTCGCTATCGGAAGCGAATTATAATGACGAGAAACTTGTTTTAAATCATATCAAAGACGGAGCATATCGAGATGAAATACTATATTTGGTAAGGAATTATAAGCCAAATAAAATAAAAACATCTGTGCTGAAGATAAGGATAGTGCTGACAAATCAACTTCCAATTCATTAGGCGCCCGCCGCCGAGCAGCGTGAAATTGATAAACAGATTTCGGATTTCAAAACATACTTTCGCTTTAGTTCCTTTACATATTAACAAATATATATCGGAAATTCTATTTGATATAATCGAAAGTTTAAGCTTACTTTTATAAAATTGCTCTTACAGTCTGCAAAAAATAATAAGCCAGATGCAATTCGAAAATTAAGGAAAAACGTAATCATCAACATTAACTGAAATAGATAATTAGATAATTTTAGCTTATACGTCCATTATACATAAAATGCACACGCGAAAACGTATTCTGCACTTACGCACACTCATATGCGCAGTCGTAAAAGGTCTTACGCGCACGCGTGAACGCCTCTGCGCATGTGTCAACGTGGCGCATGCGCAGAAAGTTTTTAGTTTTGATGTCCGGATTATAGATCATTCCGAATTATGGGTGTCCGAATTAACGACTTTTGACTGTAATAACTAAATAATACAATTCAGGATTAATTGTCTCAGTGTGCGATAGATGCAAGACAAAATTTAACGGAAGAACTTGCCTTTCGTTGCTAATTTCATGCTACATACAATAAAAAGTAATATGAATATAATAAAAATAATGTATAGCAGACACTGTTAAGCTAGGCTAAAATTATATTTTACTGCGTCAAAGGAACTTCATTTAATGTAGCAGATTGTGCTGTTCCTTAACTTTCTGATTCGATATCCAGCTTATTATTTTTTTTAGACTGTCATTATTACAGCAATTTTATGAAAATTAAAGTTTGAATATTCGATTATATAGAAAAGAGTTTCTAATTTTGGAGCTGCTACAGGATCTATAAAGTGAAACATTAAACAAAATGTGAAGTTGCTGCAAAAAATGGATATAGGT